CAATATAGTCCAGGCAACGAAAAGGTATAGAGGGAATTGCTTAGAACACAATTTTTGACTTCGTGACTGTTAGGACTAGTTAGGAGGTAAACATATCAAAAGTCCCCGCCCGTAGCCCTTAAGCCGGGGGGGAGGGGGGGGGGGGGCTTGAAGGTCCCATTTTTAGGTTTTTCGCATATATCTCGAAAACTATGCATCCTAGCGACATGAGACTTTCACAAAAGTGAAAGCTGATTAAATTTGCTACAAGTCTTATTCAGTCAAATTTTTTGATATCTTGTATAGTTTTAGAGATAACCGCTCTTGAAAGTCTGTAATTATGGAAAAAAAATTTGTTCCCATATTCAATCCCATGTTCAACAATGCACCCAAAAAATAAATGCCGGCCGTAGGGTTGTAGAGCATTAAATTATCTTCAATAATAGAAACAATTGCCTTTTTTTTATTTAAGGACAAAATTGTTAGTGTAGTAGACGTATGGGGGCGGTACGGTGGGCACTAGGCCGCGTACTCAGCCCTCACGCGCGGGCCGTCCTGCGCACGTCTGTGGGGTCCTCGCGATACCCCGGGAGACCCCTGCCGCGGAACCTCGGCAAGGCCGGGAGGCTGCTAGGTGCGGAGACGCGGAAGAATCCCTAAACGGGGATTCCGCGGCTTCGCACTAAGCAGCTTAGAGGGTGTTCGCAGGGTTTTTTAGCGGATATTATGCCGTATAGCGCCCGTAAGGGTTACGGGGTCCTCAGTGGGCAGCCACTGCTGGGGCTCGTAAGGCTTGCGGGAGCCAGGTGTGAGGTCCATAAGTAAAAAAGAAAGTAAATTAGTGTCATTGAGAAACTGTAATTATCTAATAATAATATCTGTAATAATGATATCCGCTCTTGAAAATCTGTAATTATAGAAAAAAAAAATGCTTTACATTTATGCTCTATTTGACCGGATAACTCTCGGATAACTCTTTAACGATGCACCGATGTCTAAATAGCACACATGCTCATTTTAGAATATGTACTTGTTGGCCCACTGACCAGGTTCTTCACACAATCCAGAAAATAAGTTTAAAAAAACTGCAAGAGTTAACTACTTTATGCAAAAAAGGTTATTATAAATTAGATGATTATTTAAATGATAAGATTGTCTGGTGTTGTATTGGTCCAGCTCAACACAAAAAGTAGTATTAAGAATGATTAAAATTATAAAACTGGACTTTAAAAAAAATTGAGACGGTAGGGCATTGTGCCTCTGGTTTTTTTCCGGTTCTCATTGGCTATACAGGTACGAATACGGCAGCAGTTTTCGATACAATTCACTATGACGTGCAAAAAGAGATTTGTAAAAAAATCCAATATAGTTAATTTCTTGCTCTTTTGGGGTGGGAAGGACCTTGATCCTCGTCTTCGTTTACATTTTCTTTGTCTGTGTCATTTTCTCCATCGGAACCCTGTAGGGAAACGGTCAGAGGATCCTCCTGTTCTTCTTCACCTTCGGAGTCAACTTGAGGGACCCCATTCAAGCAGTTCCCCTGGCAATTTTGGCACGCTGGGGAACAGGAACGCAGGACACCCCCTTTAGTCAATACGTCTACTACCCTTTTTTTATACGCAGGCAAAAAATACTATTTACAGACGACGGCGCCTTTAAGAGGCACACCGCCGAACGGACCTCACACCTGGCTCCCGCAAGCCTTACGAGCCCCAGCAGTGACTGCCCACTGAGGACCCCGTAACCCTTACGGGCGCTTTACGGCATAATATCCGCTAAAAAACCCAGCGAACACCCTCTAAGCTGCTTAGTGCGAAGCCGCGGAATCCCCGTTTAGGGATTCTTCCGCGTCTCCGCACCTAGCAGCCTCCCGGCCTTGCCGAGGTTCCGCGGCAGGGGTCTCCCGGGGTATCGCGAGGACCCCACAGACGTGCGCAGGACGGCCCGCGCGTGGGGGCTGAGTACGCGGCCTAGTGCCCACCGTACCGCCCCCATACGTCTACTACACTAACAATTTTGTCCTTAAATAAAAAAAAGGCAATTGTTTCTATTATTGAAGATAATTTAATGCTCTACAACCCTACGGCCGGCATTTATTTTTTGGGTGCATTGTTGAAGAGTTATCCGGTCAAATAGAGCAAATATGGGAACAAATTTTTTTTCCATAATTACAGACTTTCAAGAGCGGATATCTCGAAAACTATACAAGATATCAAAAAATTTGACTGAATAAGACTTGTAGCAAATTTAATCAGCTTTCACTTTTGTGAAAGTCTCATGTCGCTAGGATGCATAGTTTTCGAGATATATGCGAAAAACCTAAAAATGGGACCTTCAAGCCCCCTCCCCCTCCCCCCGGCTTAAGGGCTACGGGCGGGGACTTTTGATATGTTTACCTCCTAACTAGTCCTAACAAAGTCACGAAGTCAAAAATTGTGTTCTAAGCAATTCCCTCTATACCTGTTTTTGAGCATTCGTTGCCTGGACTAATAACAAAACATATTTATTATTGAAGTGAATCTTTTAATAATCGTGTTCCCGAGTCGGCAAACCAGATAGTCTTTATATCTACGCAGACAGTGGAAAAACAAAAAATATTGTATATCCACAAGTATTGCAAAATTAAACTTATATGAAATGTATTCTTTGTTTTGTTTCTCATTTCTCAACCATTCAATCACAATGTGCCACTGCGAAGCGTGGCAGGGTACAGCTAGTCTTTTATATTATATAAATTGTGGAATGACGTTATAAGTTCATAGTAAAATTTTGAAAGGAAATTTTTATTTTATTCTTTTTAAGGCACTTACATAAAAGCTTGTTTTTATTTTATCTTCTTACTTTTAATAATTTTTTACTTTTTAGTATCGATGAACATAATCGAGAACTTCAAAACCCTCATATTCTCAGCTAGTCTTTTAATTTAATACTTATATTTTATGAAAGCATAATAAACTTAGGCCACCATCTTTTAAAGTTCGCGATATTGGATTTAATGTGAAATCACTTTTGTTTCGAGTAATTCTCATCAAGTCATTTCATTTGATACCATATTGTAGGAAAGCACATAAAACTTGGTCTGTCATGTTTTTAAGTCCGCTCACCATGCATTGTCATCCAAACTAAGCGTGTGTACAAAAGGACAATGTTAAAATTGGCCTAAGAACCAACACCAATTTGGCATTTATGATAATTCTTAGTATATTTTTTGCGATAATTATCAGTATTTAGATTGTGACGGACACTTCCAGTTAAGTATGCTAAATTAAAAAGTTAAAAAATAATCTGAGACAATAAATACCATTTTTGTGTATAATCTATGGCAGCGCTGCAAACAAAACACTCTTTCTTCCTAATGCCGGCACTTCACTTAGCTATTCGTATTTTCTATTTTAAAACATGACATCAGTCTGTCCTTTTCATTCCTTATTAAGCATGACAAGGACAAACTTTTGTCAAGTGAAGGGCCAGCATAAAACTTGTTACTCTGTGGTTGTGGTGCATGCAGTTTCATAGTAATCTGTGGCGTTCGTGCATTCCAAAGGGTATGGCCACAGTGCACTCAGATTCAGACTCAGAAAACAAGCGCAAGAAATAAACAGTGTAGTATAAGAAGGTTACTTGCTGCCACTATGGCCACCCTTTTTTTTTTTTTTTTTTTTTTTTTCGTCAGGAAAATGCATGACGCATACCCCGCCACCTGGGAGTGGCAACGGGGTTATGTGGGACTCCTCCCGACCCGTCCTGCCCGTCCGCTCAGCCAGTCCTACTAGCTCAGCGACCGCCCAGGAGGGGGGGGCCCTACCCACTAAAAACCTGACGATGCCCCTCGCCTCACTCGGTCCACGGTCCCAACCAGCACGGTTGAGACAACGGCACTAGACGAGGCCACGGGAACCCTTACGGAATCTTCCGCGACCTCACCAGTGAGCGTCCGAGTCGAACGGACACACCCCTCTCCCCCCGGATGAGGAGAGTGTTGGGGATGCCCTGGAGCACTATGGCCACCCTGCTACAACTACACTGTTTATTTTACGCGCTTGTTTTCTGAGTCTGAATCTGAATGCACTGTGGCCGTACCCAAAGAGTAGTTTATTATACCGGAAAGTTTTTCAATTTCAATTCAATCAATTTGCGATTGTTTTACCTTTAATTTAACTATTTCGGCTATCTAATATGCCATCGATGTTACCAAAGAGCAGAGCCCTTATACCAAGTGCTAGTGAACCTGTGCCACAACATCCTGAGAGGATCATACTACCAAATTATTCAAGAACAATTCAACAAACTAATACACATTCACGCTGCATATTTACACAATATACATGTGATATACAAATAAATACAATAAACAATATGATACAATTATGTGAAAAATAGTCAATAAATAAGAAGCAAAACTACAGATTTTATTTTATTCATGATTCCTACCTAACCAAGTTTTTCCTAATAGTTATTCTTTAAAATCGCACCGAATAAAATGAATTAGTTGTAATATCAATTCACTTCATACTGAGTTCATACTAAATTCATAGGTTCATAGGTTTCATTGAATATTAAACATAACCTCAAAAAAAATTTAGTTTTCCTAATAATTTAAGTTCTCAGAAGTGTCCGTCAATCATCGTTGTTTTTACAGTCATTTACTTACCATTTTTAACCTAGAAAATAATATTTCATGATTGTTGGTTCTTAGGCTAACTATGTATGGACGCTGAACAATGTCCTTTCAGCTCAATCGAATGAAGAGATTTGCTTCAAAATTGAGTTGCAAGATTGCACCCGAACAAACATACTTACAATGTATGCCACTTTGCAAGTTAAATAAAAGCTTTTAAAATAAGTCGACCATCAGATGGCTTTTGCAAAAGTTGAATAACTTTTGTCACAGATTACATATATAATAGTTAACTACGTTTTTTCTTTCCTATCGCTAGTTGACTGAAGAGGATTACCATTGCATATTCGAACTCCTTTTTATTCTTGTTGTGCCGATCTCATAAAAAAATTGTTTCTTTCAGGCAGTGTTTTGGTAACATGCACGTTCCCCCTCCTCTTCATAAGATGTTGGGGCTGCTGGCTCGGCCAGAATGCCGCCTACCTCTCGTGGTGGATGCCGTTCTACTACGCGGCACTCATCGTGTTCTTCCAAATAGGATGGGCCATCACACAGATCTCTCATCTTGCTATGATCCCTGCTATAACAGACAACCTGGAGGTTCGCTCCGAATTAACTTCTATAAGGTAACATAGCTCGTATTGTACTTTATCGTAACATCATTTTAGAGTCAAAAAATTTTCAGAGAAATTATTCGCAGTATTAATATATATCAGTCTCCATCCAATAGCCGTACTTCAATAATTTCGTGTTTGGAGTTGGTTTTGAATTTAAGTTATTGAAAAACACTGGACTTTTTATATTAAAAGAAAAGCCAGAGTGAATAGGCTCCATCTGGATAAGCTCGCTACACCGTAGATCCCATCTCTGCCCTCGAGCTGGATAGAGGACTAAGAGCTTACCCATTAAGAAATAAAAAAAATAGAATGACGTTTGCGATGAACCAAGTTGCATCAGTTTCCCTGCCGTTTCAGTCCAGTCAAAAAATATTCAAAAGAAAAGATTTCGGATATGTGTAAGTTAAACACTTCAGGTTTTATGATGTAAGAAAAAATACTTAATGTAGCCTCTTTTTATAAATTAATTCTTGGTGTCCATGATCATTAATTATATCATTACATGTCCATTAATTATATGGGGACTCGAGGCAATCTGAAGATACATCAGGATTAAAACCTAAATTCTTGCTTCAGATCGAAGTTGACTTTTAGAGATGCCAAGCAATATCAGGCACCTTTAAACAAATAAAATCTATTCTAAAATCATGGCTGACATAATGTACTTGCATACTAACATGATTTTCTTTATATTTTTAGATACATGGCTTCAGTGATATCAAGTTTAATGGTGTACCTCATAACATGGGTAGTACTCAGGGCAACTAATTATAGCACTTTCATTGGACCATCAGATGACTATAAATTTAGAGTAAGTTTAACATTGGGTATGCTGCTTCTCCTAACTGCTTCTTTTGTAGTTATTACATTAAAATATTCTTTATTGCCCACCAGGATGTGTCGATAATAATTTCGAGCATCGGAATATTATCATATACCCTATTTCATATGTTCTTCAAATTGACGTCACGGGAGATCAAAGCAAACGGGCACTGTGTGACCAACGGAACCACAACCCTGGTTAAAGAAGATGCTGAAACACCATTAGTTACTAAATCGAAGATAATGCATTTTGTACGAATGCCTTTATTGTACCAGGCCAGCTTGTTGTAAGTACCTAAGTACTTAGTTCTAATTTTGTTTGCTAGATTTCATAATACTCGTTAAGTACCTACTAGTCAAATTAATAAAAAAACTTGCACTTGCACCTGACTGTTCCCGAGGTTAGGATTTTTAGCACCTTACCACAAGTTAATTCCCAAACCCAAGATAAAAAAAAATGTTAATCAACTTGGACGGGTACCGAAATTGATACCTTATAAAATTGTTCTCAAATAAAAACTATTCATTTATAAAAGACTTAGTCTTACCATGAGGAATAATTACTTACATTGAGGTCGCGATTAGCCAATTACCAACTAAACTGAAACGGCGAATGACCTATGCGCATCACAAAGAGGACGAACAATACTCGAAGACCTCATTGTAAAACTCACTGTCATAATTACACTATGATAATGCCATTCAATAAGCCTCACGTCCTGGGAGAGCAAGAAAAGTGCACTTTTGATGTCAGAATCGAAAAATTTAACAAATATAAAATTGTTTAGAAAAATTAATACTTATGAACAAACATAAGATTGAGCAATATTTAATTTAAATTAGTTTTTAAATATTTCTCTTGATGTATGTAGGTAAATGGCCAGTTTTGGTAACTATTAGTGCGTCCTATATCATTTTAAGGAGCTCGATGAAGCAAGTAGTTAGCCAGCTTCCACAACTCTAAATCCGGCACTTTGGTTAGCGATTTAAGTCTGCAATCGTAAAAAATAAATAACTTTCGCAAAAGCCGGCAGGGGCGTATTCAATTGTCATAGGATTGTTGACCAAACATTTATTATCTCAAAAATGGTTATAATTTATTTTAATATAATATACATACAGCACGATTCCACTCCGAAAGTCTATTCACAATAAATGGAATATAGGGTATTACATTGAACCTTACAAACATTACTCTCTTCTTATTTTTCAGATATGTGTTTTCAAGACTATACTGGGCCCTTAGTCTGGTCTATGTGCCCCTCTTCCTGGAGGAGAGACTGGCTTTCAACCCTAGCGCAGGATCTGAACTTGTGGCGAGCGTACCGCTGGTCCTGTATATATCCTCATTTTTCTTCTCACTTCTCCTGAAAAGCAATATCAGTCGAGTCGGTAATCAGGTAAAACTATATATAATTGCATGCTACATTTCCTATTTCTTCTTTGAAAAGGGTGGCAAACAAGCGTATGTCATGGCGGAATATGGTAAACGACCGAAACAGATACTGGGGAGATCATTCCTGTTTAACTTACCTGACCCCACCGGCTACACAGACCCTAGACGCTTAATGATATGCAATTATACCCAACAACACATCTGACTAATAAATCTGATAAATAATACCACAGGGAAATATTCAATCTATGTCGACTACTTTCGTGACCTGTTAACACGCGTAAGAAGTGAACATAAATCCAAAAGGCACCGTGTCCAATTGTACATTTACTGGCCATCATCATATCATTTACTTACCTCATTATTAACCCCTAGCATGAGCACCACGATATGATATAAAACGCGTTTTTATCATGCTGAATTGTCAAATTACTATGGAGTTTGATAGTTAGACGCGATAAAAAACATGTTACAATGCAAATTGTGATGTACATGCTACAGGGAATGACCTTATTAGCCAATCTAGGCGTTGTCCCTCTGCTTAGTCTTGCTTCGGGCAGTTGAACCCTTAGTCACGGCTGCATCTGCAGTCGTTAGTACCCGCCAAACCGCACTGGGCCCGCGTGGTGGGTCATGGCCCAATCTCCCTTTTCCACTCATAGGGAAGGCCTGTGCCCTAGCAGTGGGGACATTAATAGGCTGATGATGATGATGAATTAAGTTAGAATGCGAAACTACAAAAAAAAAGAGAAAGACTTATATTTGGATCTGTGTAGTATTATAATAACTTGCTAATACATATTGTTTTTCTATAATTGTTGCAGATTGCATATTTCATTGGAAGTACCCTCAGCCTGATCAGCTGCGTGTGGATAGCAGTAGTCGTGGACCCAGAGGCTAGCATCGTCCAAATATATATTGTGGCTACATTAATAGGTAACCAATCCCCGCGACAACGGCGTGCTAGAGCCAAGGTCTCAGTCTCAAAACGGCGTCTAGTTAAGCCGACCCCCTCAGGTTAGAGTAGTCTAGAGGCTCCAGACGGAGAGGAAACTTCCCCGAGTGGAGATGCCATCCGCGCCTGGAATTACTCTACAGTAGGGATGCAAAGTCTTTTGAAATATCGATATTTATATCGAAGTCAGGAAAATATCGATATCTGATATATCGACCATTTTAACTCGATATTATCGATATTTTTTCCTTTTTATTTTTTATTGACATTAGAAATTTAGAATACGGGGTGAGTGTGACACATTCATATGTTTGTTGGCGAAGTTCTCGCAAAATGCATTGAGCCAGCTTTTTCGTTAAACACGCTTGATGAAATCGCGCCAAGCAGTATTTTTTTTTTATTGGCTCGCACGGTTTGTGTTTCAGCCACGACAGGAAACCAAAAAATTAAAATTATTATCCTGATCAGATCACTCACATTCGTTAGCACGAATGCTCCAACCCGCATATCGTCGTTGCGACTTCAAGACCTCCTATGTATCATTTTTGTCGAAATACCTTTTTTATACGGGTTTATTTCAAATTTTGGCGCTACATCGAAAGCAAGAACTCTCATGTGAATAAGTCTTTTCAATTTATATTTATTTACTTTATTCAATATATCCTAAGTGCTTGCTCAAGTAAAGTTGGCATTTAAAATATCTTATGTGTAAAAGCGCTAGATAGGTGTGGTATGTTGGGTGATGGCGGCAGGTTATAATAAATACAAAGACGTAGATAGGTTGGTGTCCATTTATTGAAGAAGGCTTAATGGTACAAAACATACTTATTTATAATATTAGTGCACTACGTAGTTACACACACACACACTTATAAAATATAACACACAATATTATTACAAAACATCAGCATTTCACGTGGCCTACTTTCGTGTCATTCAATGTTGCGTTGTATTATTAATATATATTTATTAAATTATTTTCATACTATCACACGCCCCCCAAAAATCTCCATTACACCCCTCTCCTCAAAAAAGAAAAAAAAGTGTTACATTTTTTTTTCAACCACATACATTCAGCTAAATATTATCATTATAAAGTTTCGTATTATTCTTATGTACTACGTACTCTCTATTATTTTTTAATATCTTTACATTAGGTGACAATTCCTCTATTACTTCATAAGGGCCGTTATACACTCTATCTAACTTATCTCTTATTTGATTTTTTACCAAAATTAAATCTCCTTTTTTATATGTTATCGGGTAACTATTTTTATCAAATGTATTTTTTCTACATAATTTATTAGTTAATAAATTTTTTCGCGCATCACACAGTGCTCTTTGTAGTCTATGTCGAAGTTCCTTAGGATAGTCATCATAGTTATATAAGGGAGTTACAGAGTCACTTAAGTTACTAGGTAAAATACAATTTTTTCCAAACACTAGCTCGTAGGGAGTATATTTTGTTTGCGTGTGTACCGAGGTGTTGAATGAGAAACACCAGTACGGAACCCAACTACTCCAATTGCTTTTGTGACTCTCACATTGTATTCTTAGAAAAGTGCCGAGATGTTTGTGAGTATTTTCTAATGATCCCATAGTTTCATGGTGATATGCGGTGGACTGTAATTTTTTAATACCTAATAAGCTACATATTTCGGTCATAATTTCGTTAAGAAATTCTGTTCCCTGGTCTGTAATTATTTCTTTTGGGATTCCATATCTAAGGATAAAATTATTTACAAAAGCTCTCGCTACTGATTCGGCGTCTTTGCGCTGCAAGGGATACGCTTCAACGAACTTTGTTAGGTCGCACTGTAGAGTTAGTATGTACCTATGATTGTAATCGTCAACTTGTAATGGTCCCATTATATCTAAACTAATTCTTTCGAAAGACGAATTAGGGGTAGTCGTTAATGACATAGGTTCCTTAATGTATCTATTGGTGTATTTATTTATTTGACAAAACTTACATTTATTGACATAATTAACGACATCCTTTGTAATGCCTGGCCAAAAATAGTATTTTTTAATATTGTTTAGCATTCTATTTATCCCAGCATGCCCACTGGTGGGCAACAAGTGGAAGTCATTTAATATAACTATCTTTTCGTCCTCATTTCTGATACGCTTAACATCTTTAGTTATCAATAATCGCGGCCGACTCAACTTTAGTTTTTTAATTGTACTTGCAAGTAACTTAATATGTCCTTCATATATTTTATTTTTGATAATAAGCAATTCTAAGATATTTAACTTACTACAAAAACTCTCTAAATCTCTCGCTAACGCTTCTACAGCTGATAGCGATCGAGCATTTAGATAAATTATTGACCGCTTTGGTACATATACACAATTTCCACTTGAGGACGTAAAAACTTCGTCGTTTCCGTCATATTTGACCGAGTGACTAAAACATAATTCGATAATATCCGGTGGTGGCTTGAGAATTTCCACGGCCAAGGGGTGATCAGTCCCATGACTATGCAAATTTTCAGGCTTACTATAATTCTCTAAGTCACAGTTTTCATTACGACTATTTTTTTTTGATTGTGCTCTAGTAAGTACTGATACTAATGATTCCGATGTCACCGGGATGCGACTCAATGCGTCTGCAGCCGCGTTGTGTCGTCCTGGGACATAGCCTATCTCAAAATCATATTCCTCTAAATATAAACGAAATTTAGTTTGCCTACTGGAAGGATCTGTCATAGAAAATAAATAAATAAGAGGCTTGTGATCGGTTAGAATTTGGAATTTCCTACCATATAAATAAGGTCGAAAATGCCTCACTGCCCAAACTATGGCTAATAGCTCCAAGTCTATAATCGGATATCGCGTCTCAGCGGGCTTTAAACTTCTACTTGCGTATGCAATAACTCTATCATTCCCATTGGATAATATTGCACCTAAACCTGTTCTTGAGGCATCAGTCTGCAATTTAAAAATATTATTTTCAGAAAAATCGGGATAATCCAAAACTGGGGGTTTTATTAAAGCAGATTTTAATTTTTTGAATGCTTCGTCACAATCAGCTGTCCAATTAAATGCAACATTCTTTTTACAAAGTCTATTTAGTGGATGTGCAATTTCAGCGAAATGTAAAATAAATCGTCTATAATAGTTAGCGAAGGCCACGAATCTTCGGACCTCGTCAACGTTAGTCGGTGTCGGATAACTTTGCAAGGTTGTTATTTTGCTTGGATCAGGAAATATGCCTTTACTTGTTATTTTATGTCCTAAGTATACTATCTCTGTTCGTAAAAATTCACATTTTAAAGGGTTTAGTTTTAAATTAACTTTTCTTAAGCGTTCTAACACAGAAATTAGGTTTTTATTATGATTTTCTATACAATTTCCTATAACGATACAATCGTCTAAATAAATAAAACATTGATTATAATTCAATCCAGACATAGCTATAGTCATCAATCGAGAAAATACGCTAGGACTAGTTTTGAGTCCCATTGGACAACGCTTCATTTGGTATATTTTATCAGCTGTGAAAGCGGTGCACTTACGTGAATCGGGATGAAGGGATAATTGGTACATTCTATCTAAATGGAAAGCAGTGTATTTTCTTGAATTTTCATTTAAATTTAATTGATAATAACTTTGGGACAAATCTAATTTTGAAAAATACATAGAATTTGATAAGGAATCTAAAATATCTGTAATATTGGGAAGTGGAAATTTATCATCTTGAATTCTATTATTTAATTGCCTATAGTCAACGACAAACCTATACTTCTTTTCATTATTTTTGTCGGTCTTTTTCGGAACAAGCAAGACGGGACTAGACCACTCCGAGGTGGATTCCTCAATAATATCGTTGTCTAACATATCCTGTATTTGTTTACGTAACTCTGGTTTTAAAGAGTGTGGTATTCTGTAGGGTTTTATATAAACAGGAGTCGCATTATCCTTTAAAGTAATTTTATGCTCCATTAAATTAGTGACTGACAGTTTATCACCTGGGAGATGAAACACGTCCGCGTACTTAGCGCAAATAGACTCAATGCTAAGTCGTTCATCTTTGTTTAAATAACCTAGGTTAAGAAGCTCAAATAATGTTTTTACACGATTTACGGAAATTTCCCTTTCCGAAAAATTACAAACATCGAAATGATGCAAACTATATACTTCTAAATGAGAAAAATCATAAATTAGGTCATTTTCCGTCGTATTTAATATTCTAATCGGGATAAGCCCGTTTCTAGGCCTCGACAAAACACCTGCAATAAATACTCCCTCTCTTATTTCATTCGCAAGGACGACACAATCGTCGGTTATATTCGTAGGTATGAACTTAATAGTTTCACACCTCGCAGGTATGTTGTGTTTATACCTGTTATTTATACACATACTTATCGATTTAGACGACTGAGTTAGGCTTAAAATGCCTTTACCATAATCAATTAACGCTAAATATTGTTTTAAAAAGTTATCACCTATTATTCCATCTGCAGAGCATGACAGGTTCTTAAATACGTAAAATTTATGTCTAAAAGTCATACTGTTACTACTTAATTCTAAATAAATGTAACCTTCTGATATTAACCTACCGCTAACACCTCTAATAGTTAATCTTTCGGGAACAATTTTATTTTTCAAATCACTAAATACCTTAGCTAAATATTCATACTTAATTACACATAAACTGGCACCAGTGTCTATTAATAAATGTATTACCTTATCTCCTAAACTAAAAGCTACCGTACTCGAAGTATTATAATTGAGAACTACATGCTCGGTTTTCGTTTGAGGAACGAAAAAACTGACTCTGAGGCTGCCTTACCTCAGTGTCGCAGTACGTATGGTGGACACGGGAATAGCCTCGTGTACGGGGCTGATACTGCGCGCCTGGCGCTGACCAGCGCGCGGCTGGGGAGGGTGCACCTCGACCTCGAGCGGAACCACGTTGCGGCGCAAACGTGCGCGGCGCGCTCACATTATGCGACTGGATCGGGTTACCGTATTG